GATTTTTTATATTTAAAATGAGATGTTTATCCTGTATTTGATTGTGTTTATCTGCAGTTAGTTACACGAATTCAGATATGGGATGAAATCGGATAGGGATAAACGGGTTTAAGAGCTTTTAAGAGTTTAAGAGTTTTAAGAGTTTTAAGAGTTTTAGCCAAATGCTTTATAATATAGTATAGATATAGATATAGATAATCAACTGACAAAAATAATCAAATGAAATATAAATATCTTATTTTAAATATAAAGAACCTAAGTTATAGTTAGGATAATTATTGAATTACAAATTATCTTTATAAAAAAAAACATTATATTATTAAACCAAATTGATTAAAAGTTATGCTTCCTTTTCTCATTTAACACAAATACAAAATAAAGTCACAATCCATGGTAACAAAATAGTATTTCAAATCACCCATTTTGGGGCCTTTTAACAAATGCCCATATGGGTAAGCACTTACCGTCAAAAGCTATGATGCAACGTGAATGATAGATTCACGTCTGATCCACAATTCGTTGATTCCCAAGAATACCGTACCAAGGGACCGAGAATTCAAGATCTCGCTGATTCAACAGAATGCTCGAGAATGAAATGAAGAAGAGAATTCAAATTCTAGAAAAGGAGACCGAATAAAAATCCTACAAAAAAGAGGAAATTAATTAACAAATTAGAAGAGTCTTCTCTCTCACTTACCATTTAAGAACCTTGGTTGTTGTCATGTGTTTTACCGGGTAAGATTCTTGTTCTTTATCATGGTAAGTTAAATGTTAAGTAACCTTTAAATTCAAATCGCGATGGTATTTTTAACTCAAATAGAAGAGTGCGAACTTACTTCGAGTTTAACGAATCAATTACGAACAAGTTAGTCGAAATTGGATCGAATCTGATCTACGATCTATTTACTCGTTGGATACATACACTAGCATTATAGCAACTCCAACCAATGGAGACATAAACGTTGACACTCATAATAAGGTGGACGACCACTTTACACCACTTGGTGCAAAAAGCAGATCATTTCAGCTAACATTATAGCGCGTTAGCCCACCATCGGACCCAAACTCCATCGTTAACTCTCCTAATCCTTCAGCTCCATCGAATTCAATCGAATAGCAGGGTCGGTTCTAAGATTTTTGATGTCCTGTGCGAAAATAAATAAAAAATGCCCCTAAGTCTATTCTTTAAACCAATGAAACAATGAAACAATGAAACATGCATTTTTTTAAAAGAATTTAGAACCTACTCAGGCTAAGTATCTCATCCTCATGTTGATTTTTATTAATTATAATAAAAAGATACAATGGGGGGACGTAAAAACCAAAACCCCGAATACAAAATATAAAATGATAAATCCTGGATTAAGATCGTGCTTCATTCTTTTCCAGTTTTCCCTTTTTCAAATTGAAATTAGCAAAATAGAAACTTTATTTCAATATATGAGACTTAAAAGACAAGAAAAACTATAATTAGTTTATAACTAAAATAGTAAATTATCCAGTAAGCTTTTAGAGGTAACTTTATATGGAAAACCAAGTTTTTTTTAAAACATGTCATTTCCAACTAAAAAAACGCTCTTTACATCTGCGAAAAAACTCTCTCAAACAAAAACTTTTCCAACTTATACAAACAGATTAATTCATACAGACAACTTTATACAAACAAAAACTTTTCCAAACTTTCCAACTTTTTCCAACAATGTGCATTTAGTATTCATCATTACTAGGCTTGGGCTTGTTTTTATAGTTAAAACCCAGTGGTCCAATTCCTAAATTATTAAATCCCAAACTAGTAATAAATGACAACTCGAAGCCTTTTAGGCTTTGATGCCCTGTACGGCCGCACGGGCTGCACGTAGCCAGGGCCGGCCCTGTCGAATAGTTTGTGCCATAAACTTTTACCAATCGAAACCACAAAAATATGTGTAATCCCGTTAGATTACTCTTTAAAAGAGTTTTTGAGGAGATAATAGAAATTCCAACACAAAAACAATGATGATGAACTTGAATTTAGCCTTTTGAAAAAAGATTTGCCACTGACATGGTGGGGTTTTATCAACCATTTGAATGGGTTCTTGCCTTCTTGGCTCAAAAACAGATGGATCTACAAAGGGTAAAGTTCCCAATCCTCTTTCATTATCTTTTTGACCCATAATTTCACAATGAAATTGATCCAAAAGTGGGTCTTGGGAGGTTTTCAGGACCCTTTACCCATGTGATATATTATGAAGGCCACTTTTACCTGTAGCCATACAAAGAAATATGCCATTTGTGGCCACGGAGGTTCAAATGCGGTGACTTAGGGCTATCTGCAAAGCAGGTGGTCATCCTGGGATTAGTCGGTTCGCATAGCAGGTTGGATATCCAGGTTAATCAAAAAAAAGAAAATGGCATTTGTAACTCTCCAAGCTTGTATTTATATAACCAATAATTACAGCAAACAATTATATGTCAATTTCTCAAGAAATTCTATTAACATTCTAAGAAAATCTTGGTAAATCTCTACAGTTCATCCCTATCGTCTTTAAGACTAGAAAAGCTCAATCGATGAAGGTTGGCTTTGCGATTCAGCCGTATCATAGAACGTATCGGTTAGAATCTGGGAACCATTTCGACAAGAGAAAATGCTTCAGTTTTATCACTAGAACAAAAATCCCATAGCATGGGACATGCAACAATGCCACTGATAAGTACCTGCATATATAACAAAGCTTTAGAACACAGTTTCTTGATAAGTACACACACAACACCTTCACTGTGTGTGCTTATTTGTTAAGAGAACTTAATTACCATATTGGAGAGAATGAAGACGATAGATCAAGAAAAGGGTATGGCCACCTGTTTAACATTATGACCATTTTGTTAGTGATCACTTCCATATGTTTGTATGTGTCGATAAGAAAAAAAAAATAGAAATAGCGATCGATATTTTACCAAAGGGCGATGCACGCATGAACGACCCATTGGAAAACAACAAAAACGCACGTCCAAAGAATGAAGTATGCAATTCGAAACCACGGGAATCGCTGAAAAATGGAAAATTTAGGGTCGTGATCGAAACTACAAGATCCGATAAGGTATGTTTTTGTGTTAACAAGACTCGTAACAACTTACCAAGCTATTCAACGCGGTGTCACCGAGCAATAACACAGCATTGATCGAGTGCATATTTATAATGAACTGCACGTATAATAACCTCACAACAAATCCAAAACACGAACAAAGTACATGTTTCCGAAATCAAATAGATCAACAATGGGTGGTACTTACAAAATTCAAGTTATAATCTTTCATGGCAAGAAATGGTACTATGATGAGCCAGAAAACGCAGTCTGTAAGCACAACTGCACCTGCCTGCATCTGAAAAACAAAAATGGTGTCACCAAAGGTTCCTTTTCTGGGGACAATTTCATTTGCGTTCTTGGGATTTTACCTGAAATATGATCTGAAAAGCGTAACCCCAAAGGCCAGCGACTTGGCGCGGGTGGTTTTGATCTTTACGGCCAATGGATTTCGCGGCATTGGGCAAATTCGCAATCGCAGCTTGCTCCTCATCGAATTCCTCACTTCTGTCACCTCCAACTTTGTTGTGATACTGGTAGCATCCGTATATCGACAACAGAGATCCAATCTGTGCACAGAAAGACGCCATGAACATAAATCCAAGAACATAAAAATTCAAAAAAAGAAGAAAAAACAGCTTTAATAAAGAAAGAAAAAGAGAAAGGGTGTGTAAGAATCAGTTGATGTGGATGAAACATACCCCGAAATATATAGTAATCAACGTAAAAGTCCACCTGTAACCACCACTCAGACAGTAAACAAAGTGAAATTTCAGAATCTGAATGGCTAAAAACACAGATTTAAAAGAAATGCATAAAACCAAAGGAATCAGATGCTGATATTTTGCTTTCAGAAAAGTTATCAGATTTTGAAAAACAAAGGATTACAACACCATAGGATTTAAAGAGTTCATAGTTATGATGATGGTGTGATCAGAAACACAAAAACCAACCCTTTGCTTCCATTAACGAGGATTGGAGCATTCTAAAAGCTTTTTCTTCACCAAAATCGATGATTTTTTTTGTAAAGGTGACGTGGGTAAATTTGTAAATTGAGGTTTAAAGCTTAAAGTTAACTTTAATCAGATGGAAGAAGAATTTAATACCCAACAAGATTCTTGAAGATCAAATGGAGAAATCAAGACTGATGTCATAATTAATGGATGTATGAGAAATGGTAAAACTTACTGTGTGTAGTAGTAAAATATGGTTCCTCCATCAACAATGGCGTTTAGGATGATGAGAATCAAGAGCACAAAGAAAGCAAATATTCTGTAAGTCATCAACCAAGCTGGATGGATTCCTTTCAAACATGGCTTCCAAACTTCATCATCATACAACACTCCTCCATAATCATCTTCTTCTTCATCATCATCTTCTCTGATTCTTGATTTTCGATTGTTAGGCCCTTCGTATTTCGTTATGAGATAGGAAGCCATAGCCATAGATGTCAAAATCCATACACAACACAGAAACAGTCTCCAGTTCAACCAGTAACTTGAGGTGGTTGTATCAGGCCCCATGACTGGCTGCCAAGTGTTCTTTGACCCTCCTGTCAAGAAATCCATTATTCTTCTCTCCAAATGTGTTCTAAGTGTACCCAATAAATCAAATTGATCAAAAATGATTACGACAATGTTCAGAAACACAAAATCATAAAACCCCAGAAAAAGAAAACGAGTTGCAGGTTGAAATTTCAGTGCAAATTAACTTCTGGGAGGATGAAAACTTTAAGAAGGATCAAGTTCATGGATGGAGATGATAATGAGGCGATATATAGCAATGAAGAGGCTCCATGAAAGACAAAAACTTATGCATTTGATGGCTGAATTGAAGCATAACAACACGAGATTCCAAACTTTAGGATTGAATTTGTGGAAAAAGATGTAAGGATTGGATTAAATATGAGAAAACAATTGAAAGGAGATGAAAAGATGTGAAGTTGTTAATTGCAAGCAAAGGAAAGTTGAGATACTTACAGGGGGAGGAGGTGTGCAAGAAGAAGAGATGCTTTGCTTCTTTGGATTACAAATATTTGTATTTATATCAAATTAAAGCGTGTCAGATACAGTTTAAAAAAAAAGAATATAAAAGAAAAAGCTTCTGGTTTGTATATGAGAAGATTTAGGGGAAGAGAGAGAGAGAGAGAGAGCGCTGTGTTTTGTGTGTAGTCTGATGTCATGTAGTCTCCCATGCAATTATTTTAGTCTTTTCCATGAAGGGTTGTTTGTCTTCTGAGTTTTTCCATGAAAGTGAAGAGAGAGTGTGAGGGACCAACACAAGGATGCTTTTGAAGGTGGATTTGGTGTTGGATGCTGTATCCCAATGTCTTGATTTTGTACAAACTACACCTTTTGTTAATAATGTAATTTGAACATTTAAGTTGTATTATTTTATAAAATATTTACATAATTTTTTTTACAAATAATAAATTTTAGAGTAAATGATCTTTGATCTAACGATATTCAACTCTTTGGCTTCCTGGTAGGTAGGTATGTAGGTTAGAGAGTTCAAATTTCACCAAATGTGAGGAGAGTGTGTGAGCAAATACGGGCTCAAAAAGTTTTCAAGTGGTGACACTTTTTAAGCATAAAAAATATCTAAAGAAAAAGTTCATAATATTAATATAGATTTGTTGGTTGGTTTCTTGTAATAACATAAAAGAAACTCATGTTCTAGTCATATCTACATATGTTTTTAAAAACACAAAAGGTATATTGAAAACACACAAATTAAAGCTAAAAAACAACAAATTGACAATAGTGGGACTCGAACCCAACCCTTTGTATAAAGGCATAAACATCTACCACATCCACCATTAAAGTTTTGCGCTAATATTTCGGTTTCAAAAACTATATGATGACGTCCAACAAAATAATACGGTGACACATTCGGAACTTTTTTTCCTTGACAAAATCATGAAGTGGTGGCCCGTGCCACTGTATCCTTCCAAGACTGTGTTTTGGAAGTCTAATTAATTTGAAGAATTTGATTTCTTCTTCTTCTTCATGTTTTCTTGTTATAGAGTGTAGAAAAGTTGCAACACCCGGAAACCTACTAATTGATAGCTTACTATTTGAGCCTTATAAGGAACTCACAAACCTCATTTTCCGTCAACATGTTGACGAGTTATTACAAACTTTCCCACTTAAACTCCTCATGTTCTCGTTAGGCCTTCCTAGAATCTTTCTCCTTGTCATCGGCGATGTGGATTCGCCTGAGATATTGCAAACACCCCCCCTCAAGGACTCATCATTCCCAATGAGGTTTGTCCCACCATCATGATGGTACAAGGATCGACTCTGATACCACTTGCAACACCCCAAAGCCCAAAGCAACAAGCTGACCTAATAACTTCTAATCCAACTTAAAACAATAGTGAAAGTTATGTGTAACTCAACATTTGAGTCTTTTTAAGAGCTCACAGATCCTATTTTCTATTCATGTGAAACGAGTCGTTGGTATAAAAGTGAATTAAATATCTAAAAAGTGAGAATAATTTAGGTGGTTCGAGATATTAGTTTATGTGATTGTAATAATTTTTTTGGATTGGACTTTTTTTAGATGATCATTTTACTAAAAACAAGAAAATAATTTAATATATTTAGTTATTCATGTTCAAATAAAAAAGATTTTCCTTTTTGATGAGGAATAGAATTAAAATTAAAATTTTTGATTTATAATAAACTTTTATGTTTCATTGTCTCCGCAATTTCAAAATCCCCCTGCTGAATAACCTATTCTCCCCCGTCGGGATAGGTGTATCACATGAATATAGTTGTATGACACTAAAAAGGTAAGAAAAATAAATATCGTGTTACAAAATAATTTATTGGACCATTACTTTGATTTATTTAAAAAAATCACAGTATCGGTGTAGCACTCGTCATTTAGGGGTGTTTGGGATTGCTTATAAAAACAACCTATTAATTTATTTCGGTGTGACACCGGTAACAAGCAATCTTGGGTGTTTGGATAAACAACTTATACCGGTGCCAAACCGGTAATAAGAAGTTTTTGAAGAAGTTAAATCATTCTAACTTATAATAAGTTGATTAACACTTTTATATAAGAACATAAGTTGTTTCAAATAAGTAATCCCAAACACCCCTTTGCTCTATCTTTTCAAGAGAAAAAGGCAAACAAACCGATAAAATGGGTCCACGTCTGAATTAGCACTTAAGGTAGTTCCCCATTTACTCTCTTTTCATAAAATAATCACCAAGTTATGGATGTCTTATAAGGTTGAAAAATAATAAAAACAATTATTTGATTATTTAAACATAAACATTTTTGAAATGTTACTGACCCAGTAGTTTAATTGGTAAATAGGTGAGACAACTTTGTCTAAATATAAAATAGGTTCTGGTTCGACCTTAGGTCTTTCTGTTAGCTTTAACTACTGAATGAACCAAAAAATGCCCACATATCAGTGTTCTTGAAGGTGAGTTCTGTATGAAACCGATTAAAATTACCAATAACCAACCTTTTGTCCAAATAAAATTCTTGAAACTAAAATGTCCATCTTAATGTAGATTTAATAATAAATACTTTTTATTTTTATTAAAAACATACTTTTTTTTTCTTGCAAACTTTTGCTTTAATTGCATTGCTTTTATTTTTCATGTTTTTTTTCTTTCATCCTTTTATCTTGCAAATATTTTTTGCATAATAGTTTTTCAAAATTTTGTATGTATTTTTTCCTCTTTTGCCTTTTATTTATTTGAACTTATTAATTAGTTTGATATTTTTTGATAATATATTAGTCTATAAGTTTTAATTTATTTTAAATAATGATAAATAATATATATATATATATATAAAATATAATTTTTATAACAAGATAAATATAAGTATAAAAATATCATAATTATACATTAAAAAATGAACAATTATACTTTATACTTTAAGAATATATATATATATATATATATATATATAGATATAAGATATGTTGTATTAATAAATAAATAAATATAATAGGAGTTGTTTACCAAATGCTTACCGGTAATAGTCATCACCCCAATTTACTTTGCAGGGTCACATTCTTGGACCCAAAATTGGTTGTTTGTAAGCGCCTCTTCCTCGGTAAGAGTCTTCTCTCTCAGTTATTAGATAAAATTATCAGTTCTTGTCATGTTCATTCGATAAGGTAAGTAACACAGTAAGTGTTTATCTGGCAAGATTTTGTTAAATGATCTCTTAATATACTTAAATTAAACAAATATATAATCACTACAACAAAATTGATTTTGTAGGACGCCTAAAACCTAGAAATGTCCAAAAAGATGCTTTATAAGACTTATAGGATCAAACCAAAAGACATTATATCTAAAAATGTTACAATAGGTTTACAAGACACCTTTAGATTTTTTAACAAGTTTTTTAGGACGTTTCTAAAAAAAAGTGTCGTATTAATTATTTTATAGGACATTATTTTAAAAATTGACCTATAAACACAAGTGTCATATAAAAAGATTGGTTTATAGGACATTTCTCAAACGTATCCTATAAAATAACTAATAAAATAACTAATATGACAATTTATTTTAAAAGTTACTAAAAAACTTGTTAAAACTCCTGAAAGCGTTCCATAAATCTATTTTAACACTTTTATATATGACGTTTTATAGTTTGGTCCTATAAAACTTTAAATTCTATAAAATATTCTAATGGGACGTATAGACAATATAAGCATCCCATAAAACCAATTTTCTTGTAGTAAATTAATATAACATAAATATAAATTAAATTAATAATATTTCCCAACATATATAAAAGTATATTTATAATAATTTAATTTCAAATATATTAACGTATATAAAAAAAAGGAACAAAAATGATATAAAATAATAGTGATATCACCTATAAATAAGAAGCGGTTTACTAAATTCTTGATAAGTGCTTACCGGATAAATTTTATCATCGGATGAACATGAGAAGGGCCAAAAATTTTATCGGGTAAGAGCGATGAGAAGGATGTAGAGTCTTACTCGGTAAGTGAGGATGACGACTCTTACCCAATAAATTGTTGCATTCGATATGTTTTGATGTACTAAAATCTTACGCATCAAAATTAATCATAGTGTTGACTTCTATCGGTAAATGCTTACCGGATAAGCAATTGGGTAAACGGCCCCTAAGTTTGGAAAATGTTTTTTTTAAATACAATGATGATATTTAGATTTTTAAATTGTTGAGTTGGCGTTGGATTAACAAAAAAAAATTGGAAAATCAATAATGAATAAGTGTCGATGAAGACGCGGTAAGTTAAGTAAAATCTTTTATTGCTGTCACATTTTATTATAAGTTATATGTTAATTTTCAGTTATGAAAATATTTGATTCAAATATATGTAACACCAGAAGGAAAACCTTTTGTATGTGATTGATGACTAAATCCAAGACAAACGGAATACAAAAATAAATAAATACAAAACAAGTATATGTTTAGCATTCTTAAAAGATACTTAAACCAAATAAACCATTAAGTTTTAACAATATTTGTGATAACCGGGTTTTTCGGTTACAAAGTTGGGGGGTTGATTTTGAATAATGATGGTTAGTTGAGGGATTTAATTCGTATATGTGCTTAAATGTTTTAAATTAATCTCCACCGCTTTATTGTTTATATTGTTATTATATATGAGATATTTGTGTTATCTCATGGGAGGGTGTGATTAAATGTTTTAAAAACCTTCACCGCCTTATACTTTGTTTAAATGAGTTCATTATGAGATATTTAT